GCTAGCTCATAGAGTATGTGCTCAATAATAACTTAGAAAAAAACTGGGAACTGCTAATGCTAAATGCCGTGTGTGTGTGTGTGTGTGTGTGTGTGTGTGTGTGTGTACATGGTGTTGATTTGGATATGGGGGGTAAGGGAGATTCATAAGGGAGATTCATGACTTCTGGCTGGTATACTTGAATGGCGGTGGACACCTATCACTGAGACTGGGAATAAGGCCTAGTTTGTGTGAGTATGATCATTAATTTGAGGGATCTATGGACCATTCATGCAGGAGTGGGAAGTATACACAGTGGTTTATATACATATACATATATACATATATATATATATATATATATATATATATATATATATATATATATGTTAGGTATCAGAGAAAATTGAAGGAAATACGCATTTGTGAGTGATCTGCTGACTGAAATGGCCTTACCATTCCATTCCCCTCAGCCTGACTAAATTGACAAGGCTTCTTCCTAGTTCAAGATCCTTTACCTACCTTTTTTCTTTCAAATCATTTACTTTAGAAAACTTGTAATTGTAAATTCTCTCTGCCCCTTTGAGATGTAAATCTTTTAAAAAAACATCTTGACAGTTTCAGAATCCAGGAATGTCTTTCTTAGGGGCCTGGAAACCATCTGTTGGAAGCGTAAAGAAATTTCAAGGGAGCTAGTACTGATATCTGCCAGTTTTTATGGGAGGGTAGGGGCCTAACTTTGAAAGGATGAACTACAAAACTATCTCCTATCATAAAGATGAAAGAAGTTTATTTTCCCTTTGGATCAAGCCAATTAGAAAACATAGGTGGCCTATGACTTCCTCCAACATATTCTAGTACTTTCCAATTAGCTCACCCCAGCACTTAAAAACCCTTCTGCTCTTTGTTACAGTGGAATTGAGTTTAAATTCAGTTCTGGCCTCTCTCCAGTACTGTAATAGCCTTGAATAAAGTCTTAATTGCCTGTTTTACTTTGCCTGGTGCAATTTTTGCTTTGACACTGTCTACATATAATAACTGAAGTCATGAGTAGTTATTCCTAGGGGGAGATCAGAGTGTGAAGAGGAGAAACCAAAACGTAGAGAAAGCTGTAAAAAAGAGAGAAGAGGAAAAGCAAACAAATAAGAGGATACCAGAGAAGCCAAAGAGTGATTCCTTTTATAGGTTGTTTGTAGACTATTTTGGGAAAGGCTGCCTTACATGCTATTAAAATTCATCCTTTAGTTAATATAAATCAGTAGATGGTTGCATATAAACAGGATTATTTTGCTTTCCTGAAAAATTAATTTTACTGAATTATAATGTAGTGTGATGCCAGTAGTCCACATTAAAAGACATTATAAGAAAGATATGCACGAAGTCTATTAGAAAGGACCAGCCAAAGAATTGGGATGATTACTTTTGGAGCCTAGCTCGCCATATTCTAAGAAACAATTACCAGCAGAAATGTCCCGAGTTTGTCTTTCCTGAAAGATTGTTCCTGTCGATTTTCCCTTAGATCTTAGGATTTGTTTAATCCATAGCTCCATGATGTACTGCAAATAAGAGTAAGCCAAGGGCATCTAATCGAAGATCACATGTCTGTTGCTTGGAAATCTGCAGGCTTCCTAGGCCTCCCTGATGAAAGTGGTAATAGTCTACTTAAAATTTAGCTGATATATCCAGGAGAAGCTATTGGTCCATGAGAAACTTACTGAGTAAAATATAGTTGAAAAATTGGTCTGAGGGTCCAATTAGGAGAAGGTTCAAAGAGATATTTTTTTTAGGAGGCTGGGTGGGAGGTACAATGTAACTAGTTGCAAAAAAAGGAGGAAAAAAAAAAGGTCAGACCCTGTATGGATGAGTAGTATTCGGTGAGGAAAATGCATAAAACAAATCTGAAGCTTAAAGATTGCCATCCTTCCTGTTTGGGAGGTAAAGGATTAAAACAAAACAAAACAAACAAAAAAAGCCTGCCTGAGCTGCTGCTCTATGTCAAGAACTTTTTTCAGGCAAGAGGGAGAGCAGAGCCAAAGAATGAAATTAACCTCTAATCCCTCTTAGGTAATAACAGCACATGTGGGCCTACATTGCCTCTAAAAGTATCCTGGCAGATTCAGAGAAATCACTATCAGAGATGTTTTGATTACTTGGCTCAAACGCCTAATTGAAAAAAAAACGGGGGCCAGTCGAGTTGGTTAAGAGCTCGCTCAAGAGTGCGAGCTCTGAGCAACAAAGGTTCGATCCCCGGCCTGAGCTGAACTGCTGCTGGGCTGCCAACAGGTGGCAGGATGCCTCAGCTAAAAAAAACACAAAAACTGAGTAATTTTGCCTTATCCTTGGGGATATAGCATGGATACTAAAGGAACTTGTATAATAAGAATGGAGAGAAATCCAAATGAAAACAAATATATTGAGAGTCAGATACAAAACCAGAGCCAGAAACTTGGCTATAGGTCCTAGACTGTGGTTCTCTAATAAAATCTTTAAATGGAATACACACCGTTGATAGTTTCTCAACCAGCCACACATGGAAGTTTGGGGGAGGGTCCCTCCTCTAATATTTTCCCTTCTCCCTTTATCTCTTACCTTATAACAAGCTACAGGCATGGGCAGACAAAATATATTGAATACGGTGGCTTTAAAACTGATGTAAGGAACAATACCGTGACATGAAAGGAAATATCAAGCATCTTAGTAAATCAAGCTTAGCATCTGTATTGGGAATAATTTCTGCTTGATTCTTATAAGTCACTGAAGGTAAAGCTGTTTATGAAATCCATCCTTGAAAGCTGCGGGGTAGCCAGAGGAATATTTAGGGAAATAGGTATACCAATCACCCATGTTTATGGAATGGGTTATTTCACTAGTCATCCTTTCAATCATTTTCTTTTTTACCTCCCAACATGAGAGAAACAAACTATCTTTCCTTTATTGTTTCATTTAGAAAGGTAAGTTATGTAAAACTATATTGAATAAGGGAAAAATCAATAAAATTAGAATTAAAGTAGCAAAACAAAGAACATAAAGAAAAAGGAGAGAGGATCGGTGATAAAAGGTAATAGATTATATCCTTCGTAAGACAACTAAACCCCCAAACCAGCTAGAAGCTGACAAGGTGCGGGTTGAGCCCTCACCCAGCCCAAGGTTATCTACCTAATAAACCTGAGAAATTAGGCAGAAAGAACAACTTGATTTTCTAGCTCCATGTAGTGGTTGGTCAGAAGCCTCCAGTTCACATGTAGAACATCTATAAATTACTTCAAACCTACCCTTTCTCTCCATTTACTCTTCTCCTGAACTAGAACGCAATTACACTATTGTCCACTCATCTCTAATTCCTAGGTTAGACCCTTACCAATAAAACAGTCAAAAGGAAATATAAAATAGGAAAGGAGAATAGTAACATGTTTTTACAACATCTAAGTATCACCAGCTATTTTATAACGTACACATAGCTTTGTAGGTGAAAATCCTAACCATTTCATCCGAATGTTTGTTACATACCGAACGCAACTAAAATTCGATATTCTATCTGGCACTTAAGTCAAGGTGTGGCTTATGATTATAACAGTAGATTTGCAATTCATGAGTAACTATATGAAAGTAATGAAATACAATTTTAATCATCATGCCAGAATTTCCATATTTAGTTGAAAAATATTATTTCTAAAGTAGTCACCTAGAGAAACTGCATATTTCTAATAAAGTTGCTACCACTGCTTAAAGCATTTTGGTAATGTCTCCTTTAAAACCAACTTGAAGATCATTTATGAAAATTGTCATTAAAATTTTCTTAATAATTAAAATTCTCATTCTTCAGCAGATTTGATTCTTATCTCCATTTAGTGTTAATACAAAAGTCAGTTTATAAATAACAGCAGTTATTAAATGAATGATCACTATTTCTAAGATACTATAGTATGTGATTTACAAATATCACAAAATGGTAGGTATGGTGGTACCTTTAATCCAAAAATGTGTTCTTTTTGTAATGACATGCTAAAATGAGGACACTTCATATAAGAAATCTAGTATCTTGGCATCTCTTGAAAATTAAAACTAAAATATTGAGCAACTCTGGGCAAGTATCTCCTTGCAGTAACAATTACTGGGAGCTGAACAGAGGTGGTCCGTTCAGAAGAGGAGATATATTTTCACTCAGCCCCTGCTTCCACAATACACACAAATCCACTGACATCAGGGGACTGGACTCCTGGCGGAAAGCCTGCCAGTACACAGGTAAGACTAAGCTGGCATTCTGGGTGGCCAAATACTCCAACTTACCTCATTGCTAGAGGATTACCTATCTTTGCCTTGTGGAACTCTGAAGTGGCCTTAGGGTTTGTTTTGACCAATAAAATGTAGACGCAAATGAAATATATCACTTTAGGGAAGAAACTTATGAACTAATATGCAGTTCACCACGTCTGGACATTTAGCCATGAGGTAATATTCCAGGCAAAGGTTTCTCCATCAGGCTTGGCCCTGGAGAAAAGACAAAGGCGGGCCAATTCTATAAAAATGGGCAGCATGTGTGAGAAATAAATCTTTGTTGTAACCCACTGTGACTGGGGGACCATCTGCTACTACTATATGACCTAGCCTGTCCTGGCTGATACCGGCACATTTAAATGACCTCCCTGGCCCCTGTAAGCGGCTGAGTTTGTGACCCATGCTTTTCCTATGAGTTAGCCTCTAATTTTTAGAATATGAAAAACCGAAGCTCAATAAGGTTAAATGATTTGTTCAGAGATAATGAAGTCAGTCTCTGTATTCAGGTCTGTCTGACTCCAAAATCTATGCATTTACTTTGCTTGTTTTCCTACACCATAACATGACGGAAATGTTTTTGCCATTACTTCTTTCATAATACTGTAAATAAATAAAATGGATTTGAAATTCAATAGTTTCTCAAATATCTCATCAAAGTAGATATCTTAACAAGAAATTTGCTAAAATACGATAACCTTTTTTTGATGGATTTTTCTAGAAATCATATAAAATACATTATATAATCTTATATAGTCTTTGAGTTTATTCTGTAAACACATTCTGTCTGTACCATTTTAAAATAATGTTAAATCATATTTATTGTTTTGCATACAACTCACACATTTATTAATATTAAAAAAAACGAAATGCAAAGTAATAAATCTGACTTCTTTCCCCACAAAAATGGGAAGTATATCTTGGTAAAGAAATTTTAAAATTATTTTTACACACCAGTTAGTTGTTGAAATTTACAGTTCTAGCAAAAAATATAATTAACATGAAAAAAAACCCCAACACGTTAACTAACTAGTATAAAACAGTTTACAATATCGTAAGCAAGAAACAAAAACTGGTCAGTAAACACTGCTTTAATTTTCAAACAGATTTCTATTATAGTACAGTTTACTGCCAATAACTCTAAGCCCATTAAGAGCACTTCTATATATAAATATAGCAAATGATACAGTATTTATTGCAACAACAAATTAAAGGTTGTCATAATATATGTAACTTAAATACCCGCCCCCCCAAGTGATAAAGTGGCTTCTTATTCCTTAAACATAGAAATTCTGCTCTTCAATGTAGAAAGATGAAGTCCTCTCATCAAAAGGCACATTCTTATCTGCAAGAAAAAAAATATTATAAATGTTCATCCTAGAACAAATTTAAAAATATTCCTTAAAATTTGAAGTGGCTAGAAGATAATGGAAGTATTTAGTCTAAGGGAATTAACAGTGAATGGCACAGATAAAATGCATGATTACTTTGTCTATATCAATTACATCAGATATCCTCTTTTAAATTATAATTCTAACTTTTTCAAAGGGATTTTATATGTAACTAGTGTGGGTAATTAAAGACTACTTCAAAGTCATACTAAAGTGATACCATCATGTAATATTCATAAATGACTTTCCTTAAAAAGTATACAATATAGTTATTTGTTTCTATAGTGTCTATAAATATAAATCTTAACTGATCTTATTCTCAGACATGAGAATTAATTGAAGCTGCAGGCCTGGAAGTATACTCTACGAAACAAACAAACAAAAATACTTCTAATATTTATAACACAATAACAGAACTTACCTATACAGAAGATAAGGTTTTCCATAAACATATACAGTGGGGTAAGTTTGCCCATTTTCTTACCTTATTGACTACTTTACGATAATACGAGGTTATAGTTTCATCTCACACATTTTTATAGACCTTAATCCTAATAATACACCAGGCTTTACTATTACTTAATCCAAACTATAGCTTCCAAGAAACTTCTGCTAATTACAGCCATTACAACAGAAAGCATTTAGTCAAGCTAAAAGAATAACCAAAGGTATGCAAATTTTACTAACTTAATAACATTTAGAACTTCATGAAAGATATGTATGAGAATGAGCAATACTTTCTATCAACTTGTTGTTTTAGCTAAACCTTTACCAAGCAATCTATAATAGAGCTCTAAATGATCATTAGATTTTTATAAGCTAATGAGTTTTAATATATTTTAATTTGAAGGTGAATTTCAGCTTTTTTTTTTTTTTTTTTTTTTTTAGCTGAGCCATCCTGCTACCTGTTGGCAGCTCAGCGGCTGCTCAGCTCGGGCTGGACTTGAACCGCT